ACATTGGCAAATAAAGTAGGTGTTTACCACTGTAGCTCCAGCTCTTTATTGTGTGTGTGTGTGTGTGTGTGTGTGTGTGTGTGTGTGTGAGTGGTGTTGTCTTTAGTTTCTGTGCCAGAGGAGACACATTTTAAAAACAAGAAACATATATCAAGCAAGTAAATTATTATACAGAATACAATTTGCGCAACAAGTTCAGCAGCCAGGTTTATTGCTCGCTTTTATTTTATCTCCAAAATGACCCCAAATTACATTTTCTTAAGAGAGTAAATCATCATTATGTCTCCATGTGCTAAACAGCACAGAGTTATCACCTGCTGCATGATGTCTTACAGGGTTGCTGTAGCAAAACAAGCATTATCATCCCATGTGACATGGCAGTTTCAAGAGAATATGTGCATAATTCAAAGAGGCAGGTTGACTGAGCATATTTAAAGCAGATACAATGACCTTGTTTTTCTTCATTTTTGCTGCTATTACTTGGCAAAGTACTAATAGAGAGAGGAAGACTTACACACATAGACACTTAAATTCGCACCAGAGAGCTAGACAGCTCCACCACAGATTAGTAACTCGTGGCCAGTGAAGCAGCTCCGGTAGAGAAACTGGGGCTTGACTGCTTTGCCCTGGGGTGTTATACTGCGGTTGATGAGGGAGGGGGAGACCTTTCTATATTACTCCACCAAAAACATTTTGTAACCACTCGAGGGATTTAAACAGGTGACATTTTGGTCACAAGCTCATTTCTCTCAACGTTATCCTCCTGTCACCCCATTTACGCCCTGTGGCAAGATATGCAAAAACCTATTACAAGATGTTGCAGATAGGATTGCCACCCATGTGGAGCATTTTGAGTGCTTTAAAAAGTGCTCATTTTACATCAAACTAGACAGTACTACAACCACGTGAAACAAGGGTTTTCACCACCATTAGTTTGCAGGGAAACCCTGTTTGATGCTCGAACTAAAAGGGTTATATTGACCACATGGAGAGCCTTGTTTAACAAAGAAACAGCACACACAATTTGCAGGAACTATTACGGCCAGATTATGTCACTAAACAACCATTTAGTGGTTTAGCCACCACTTACCGTATAGTTTCAGTCTGTAACAGCAGGTGCTCATTAAGATAAACACAGACAAACAAATAGACAAGGTGTGTTTGCTGCATAGCAATTCTATCCTATATGTCTAACTGCAAAAGCCTCAACTGATTTAATGTCAGCCAATCTAAAAAACAAAACAAACTAAATCAGTAGACCAATTAATTATTTAATTGGATCATCTTTTAGTTTTTGTCTTTTCATGATACCAATGTTTTTCTTTTATGCTTTTGCCAAACAGAACTTGCTGCATCACCTTATTTTTGGCTACTAGGGAACAAAACATCTCAGAAACAAAGGGACAGATACTGCACACAGACTTCACATAACATCTGATACACCTGCTATGGCTAACAAGTTAGCACAAATTAGCAGTTATACACATCCAGCAAACACAGAGCAACATTATGAATCCATTGGACACATGAAGAATCAAGTTAGTCAGTATGTTTATGCTGACGTTAGCAGAGTTAGCTTGTCATTTTCTGTGGGCTTGTCATTCGAAACTGCTTTATTATGCATGATGATATCTGTGTATAAAAACCACTAAATTCGACAAGTTAAGCAAGACTTTGACCTGCAGTGTGTTGTGTTAGCTGTAGGAACAGTGCTAAGTATGGAAATGACACACACAATGGCATGTAGTTGCTGGTGGGCAAAACACAGGCAGTGCCAACAACAATACTGTACTATTTGAACCTGGTTGGGACACAAGATTGACAGCCTAACCATCTTGTTGCAATCTTGGACAATCTTGTGTGGAAATAGGGGGTTCAAATAGATGGGAGAGCAGTAGAATATTGTGGCACAGATTTCCTCTTGAACATCACCATGAAAGGAGACACAGGTGGATAACAGCTGTGAGAAGGACGAACTGGACGCCAGGATCAGTTAGTGTTGTTGAGTCAAGTTGGTTGCTTACACTCTCTGAAAGCTCTCCAGTAATTTATGTAATGGCTTGCTGTAATCAGGTTTAACATTAGTATGCATAAACTAGACAGCTAACGATCTTCAATATGTTAGTTTTGATTGAAGGAAGCCATTACATAAATTGCTGGTGAGCTAAACATGTCTGCAACCAACTCGACTCAACAGCACTGACAAATTTTCATTTTAGAGAAAATTAGAACTTTTATGTAGGTTAATTGTGAGTCATTTCTTAGCTGACATTACCTGAAATGAAATGTGTAGCACAAATAAGAATGTCTGAACCAGTGTCCAGTTCTTCCTCTTCATAGCTGCTATCCACCTGTATTTTCATGTGTAATGTTACCAACCAGGTTCGAATATATTGACATTGGCGCTGCCCGTGATAATTTTCCTGTTGATCAGTTTCTTTGTCTTATCTATGGAGCATGGCAGTTCACCATGTCCGCCCACTGCTATAGGCCTACATGCTACATTTTGCGTGATGAGAGTGGTGCTTTTGCTCACCAGTGTTGTGCACAAGTGCGTTTGTTTACACACACTGGATACTCCTGTTAGCCACAGAGCTAGCAAGTCACATGCCAGTTGTGCTGAACACTGAGCAAGGCAACATATGCTACCTCTGCACATCTCTCATTAGCCGACAGAGTTACACACAGCCACCAGTGACATTTACCCACTGAAATAGAGAGCCTGTGAGTCACTACCCCTACGCCACTGGATCTACAGCGAGTGGAATCAAACACAGACTCTCACACTTGGCAGACAATACGCTTTGGCTCAGTATCTGCGCTGTATTTCATTAACAAAATGAAAAAGTACTTGTATAGGCAGGAAAAAACATCATCAGCATAACTGATGCGACTGAGCCATCAGCTGGTACACCTGGCATTTATCGTTTCCTGACAACTGTCTGCTCCTGACGATGATTTTAAAGTAAAACTCTTGGAGTAACTCTACTCTTAGATTTGCACTATACAGTTTAAATCAGTGAATGTTTAGGTTTACTGACAGAGTGAGGAGGCTGTCTTACTGGTATCCAACTATCAAAATAATCTTTCTGTGCACACTGTATGCCATGTAGTTATCAATGTGTGTGTGTGTGTGTACACTCGTTTCACTGTCACTGTGGGTGTTTTTCTTTCATCCCTCTCTCCAAACCTCCTCACAGATGATAAATATCCTTTGTTTTTGTCTTTTGTCCCTTTCCCTCTCCTGTCTTTTATTCTCTACTTCCTCTTCAGTTGCTCAGTACTGTACTGTGTGTGCCCCTCGCTCCCACTGCTTTGCCCTTTTTTGTGTATTTTGATACTGCTGGGGTCCAATCGATCTCTGTCTGGCAGCGGGATTCCTCCCCCCCTCTGCAGATGCATTTTGGGTCATCCTTTACTTTTCCTGTTAGGTCAGTCATAGGAAAATGACGCAGTGGCTTGGGGAAGATTTGGGTGATGTGAGAGCAGGGGAACAAGACATGAATTACCTTTGGTTTACTGATTAGTGTACACTGAGAAAAGGATGGCGATTCAAAACCCCTCACATGAATGCACAATGACTCACAGGCATGTACACACACACACACACACACACACACACACACACACACACACACACACACACACTGTGAGAAACAAATACACTCAGGCACACACTTGTTCAAACACTACATCATATCTGGAGTCAAATTTATAGGCTGTTGCTGTTTGCTGATTTGGTTGAAGGTCATGTTTTGCTTGTGTGTCTTGGGATTTAAACAGTGAAGTGGTGATCCAATACAGACAGCTGTAACTGCCTCCTGTGAAATATCTTTAAGTAGTTCTGAGCATCTGGGAGTTCACCGCTGATCAAGACTCATTTATACCATATGTATGTCAAATTGACAGGTACCACAGTTTTCCAGATTTGTACTACGGCCAATAAGGCAAGGATTGAGTTGGATATCTAGTTAATACAGCTATAGTAACTTGATCAAATGAGCCCAGTCTCATTCCGAAGTCATCGAAATTCAGCGCCCGGGCAGTTACTTGCAACATCAGAAACTAATGAAAAAAGGCGTCCTTTAATTTTGGCATGATACACAGCCAGTTGCTGTTATAGTTTAAAGGCACCTGGCAGTGTCAAGGGGAGACGTGGCAGGACAAGGGCGAAAGTTAAGGCGCCAAAAGTCAGAGTAGTGGATGGGTCCAACAACCATCAACTTTCACCCGAGAAAGCGATGTTCTCATCCCGTAAGATTCTGGCGCCAAACCCTGTTCTTTTTTCCTAAACCTAACCGTGTGCTTTTGTTGCCTAAGCGCAACCATGTGTGTCTATTCGCAGTGCTGTACCAACGTAGTGTATTTGCTGTGAAAACAAAGCTGTATCTTGAAAGAAGACAATGCATATAACGCCAACAACCAATGCACCCAGGATACCTTTCACGTAGTATCTGGACGTGGAAAGTCCATGACCAAAACGCCAATATGTGACGAGGTCGGAAAATGTGTTGATCAAATAGAATGCCAGTAGTTGTAGTATTAAAAGACTAGGATGTCAAATCACCAATTTATACTTACTTAATTTACTTGTGAGGTGCAGATTCTCATATATTCAAGGAGTTGGTGGGAAATTACTAAGATAATGTGACATACATTATGCATATTATATGCATGCGCACACATTAACATAACACATAGGCCTACTCCCATTCTCACTTTTAAGTAATGTCATCACTTCCACTTGCAAAATCCTGTAACCATCCTGCAATCCCACCAGGAAACCTTCATTTGCGTTTGTATTACAGGTGCAGAGAGACAGTTAACATCATTTACAACATCTGTCAGTGTCAGCGTCACGAAACCACCTATCTTGTACAACAGTTGCAAAGCAGAAGGAAAACAACCTCGCTCTGTTCCATGTAACCACAGAGAAAGTGATTTGCTCTCCTTGTAATCCTTTCTTCTCTCCTCCTCTCCTGTGTCTCCCCCCTCCTCAGCTCCCCCAATGATCCGGCTGTCAGTGAACGACACAGTTGTGGTGGATCCCGGCCAGGATGTGTTCTTAACCTGTGAGGTGACGGCAGGTTTCCCGGCCCCCACTGTGACGTGGTCTCGTTACCCCGGCCCCCTTCCCCTCAGCGCCCAAGTTCGAGGGGCAACACTGATTATACGGGCGGCCATGCCGGCTGATGCGGGCTTCTACAACTGCACGGCTGTCAACAATGTGGGAAACCCCGCTCGCAAGAATGTCAATCTCGTTGTCAGGAGTAAGTAACACATGTATGAGTTTGTTCCCAGATGGCAGGAGACAGAAGATGGGAGATTGTTGGTGAATCAGGGTGTTTTGAGGTTGATAGTATGTTTGTGTGTGCATCTTTTGCCAAACTTGACACAATTCATTTAGCAGCAATTCAGTTTTCACATTTGCAAGATTTGAAACTAAAAAAATGTCCAATTTTTGATTCCTTTATCTATTTTGTAATCATGCCATATGTTATTTTTCTTTCCTTTTGCTAACTTAGGGGACAGTATACAACAGATATTTTTAAAATTGTTTTTGACACAGCAAATACACACACACCTGATAAAAGTCCTTGCAGTTTTGAAAGTATTTGATTTAATATGCCGTATATTTAATTTCCAGCACATTAATCCATGCCTCTTTCATTAAAATATTTAAAGATAAAAATTATTTCCCTTACTGAAAATGAAAAGTGCCATCTGTCCCATCCTGCTTTATTCACTGGCTATAACGTGTGAACGTATGCAAATATATTAACTTGTGTGCGCACTGTATGTGTCTGTGTGGTGTGTGACACGCGAGCAGTTGATCCATCATTAGGGAGAGCTGATGTGAATCTTGTCAGAATAGGCCAGTTAAGTATCGCTCTTTTTCTAATTCCCCTGCCGTTAAAAGAGAAGCCTTCCATTCTCTCTCCCCTCCAGCTATTTTTAGTCCCTTTAATCATCTTTATTCACTCCAATTAGTTAGACTGGAGTGGAAGCAATTAGCGACAGTCTCTTCTGTTAGTTAACACTGTAGAGAACGTATGCTGGATGGGTTTCTCCTGTTAGCTTAATGGGCCTGAACGCATCGTCACACCAGCACAGGTGGCAAGACGTTGAATGAAATACACGCACACACACACATACTCGCGTTCAGTGAGTGCAGAGAGATAAAAGTCTGCAGGTAGGCAGGTGACACAGTTGCAAAGTGATGCACACACAGCCACGGGCTCCCTCATCACATGCACACACAACATTGTCTTGGCGCTAACCAGGTAAAGTTGCAGGATCATGTTAAACATATGGTCACTGCTTCCTATCCGTGGCTCCACCCAAGCATCTTGTTAACAAGATCGAAAGGAGTTTAAATCAAGCTCTCCTCTTCTCCTCCTCGCCGCCTGTCTCTCCCCTTAGTACAGAAACAGAGAGCTGTTTTGTATTCAACATGGAAATCTGTTGGGGAAACGCAGCCTTTGAAACTGAAAATTAAATGTGACAGTGTGAGAGTTACTCTTTGTCCTTGATTTTGTCCCCCCCCCCCCCCCCCCCTCCTCCTCCTTATCCCCCTGTTATTTTATTCTGTATCTGGCTCCTTTTGTCTCTCCTTCCTTCACAATTTGCTTCCTCCTCTCTCTCTCTGTCTTTCTTCTTCAATTTCCTTTCCCCTTTGGTTTCTTTTTGTCACGCTGCCCCCTCCTCATGCCTCACGCGCTATGTCGCAAACTCATCTACCGGTCTGCGTTAGCCATCTTCTCCCTCCTCCATCCACTTTTTTCTCTGTTTTAATTGCTTTTTTACTTTCTTGTTATCCCTCATTTTCACTACCGTATCAATTCTGTCTTTTTGATGTCATTCCTAAAACTTATTTTCAATCGTTTTCCTCAAATTTAAATTTCATTTGTAGTTTATTTGATACAACTTTAGTAAACTTTATTGGCATGACATAAATATGTGCTTCCAAAGTAGAATAAAAAAAGGTTATGTGGAGGGTAAGAGATTGAGAGGCACATACTATATAATAATCACACAGTACAAGGACACAGATTTTCATCAATGCCAAGCACCACTCATACATTATTCCCACCAAGTCATCGATTTAACTCAGTGCACCTCACTTAAGAATTTCTGGCAGCTTTAATGCTACAGGAGGCTGCTGCAAGAGTCACCAGGTCATTTCTGTATTAAACCTCAAGCTAAATACTTTGTAAACGTTAAAAATTGTTTGTTTTACCATGGCAGCAAAACCGACAGGAGATTACCCTTTTTATATACCAGTGTACAGGCTAGTTCAGTTTGGTGTTTTGCATTATAAAATATCGTTCAGACCAAAAGTGAAAGATATTGTAAGCATATTAAGAGAAGAAAATGTTCCAAATGCTTCTTTGTAGTTAGTAAAATTTGTTTTCGTAGTGAGCATTTGAATAGTCCAACCACTATTCATTGTTTTCAACACTGCACCACAGCCAACCTCTGACACTATACTATTTATTTAACCCCTCTGTCTCTCTTCTTCACCTCGCTACCGCCACACACAGCGATGAGCAACCTGACCTTCCAGATTACTCCAGACTCCAACAAGGACAGCGAGACCATCCAGATGGGTCGAGACCTCAAGCTGTCCTGCCATGTTGATGCCACCCCACAGGACAAGGTCAACTACACCTGGTACAAGAACGGTGCACCTGTCTTCAACTCGGAGAGCCTGATCTTGCTGCGCAGTGACCCAGACATGGCACCCGGCACCAGTAGTCTGGAGATTGTGGACATGAAGTTCAGAGACTTGGCTACATACAGCTGTGTGGCCAACTTCCCAGGCAGCAGAGTGTCGGAGCTCCGTGTGGATGTCAACATCTCTCAGAACAGTGGTGAGGTTTTCCTTTTCTTTTTTATTTTATATCTCTGTCAGACTGAGACGAATTTCCATGAGGTTCTAAGCTGCTGTCGGCAAAAGTTAAATAGCTCACTCAAAAATCCTTTCATTGGTCTTTTCTGTATTCAGACCACCAGCAATGACAAATCCAAATGTGCCAGTGGGCTGTAAATAAATGCATGTATTTAACTGCTCATCAGCAGCATTACTTGAAATTGTATTTGGTGGCAAATATAGTGGTTAGAGGTAATTAGGTACTGAGAGTTAAAGAAGCAAATACTCCAATCAAGGCGTGTTTAAGATTGTAGATTGGGCATTCATGACTTCATCAGGCTGACTATATCCTCAACACACAGTCATTGTCAAGTTGTTTCAGGACTTTGTGTGTCTGTGTGTTCATGTGTGCCTTCTCGTGTCTGGTTAACCATAATGTTAGCACTTAATTACCGAGCAGTAATCTTTTTTTATCGTCCCTATGTTGCATTGAAACTATGATTGTCCAATAAAATTAGCCTTGTAAATGTCAGTTCCTTTTGTACCTTTTTATCATCCATCTGTCTCTGTTATTCAGTTTCTCTGTTCACACCCTCTGTAATTTGTAAGTCATGTCCTCCTCTAGACTTGTTATATAACACCATGCAGTCCCTCCTTTCCATTCCATTATACTTGTTAAGTATTTATATTTTAATAATAGTACTCTGAAATGGTATTTTACTTATGTATATGTAACTTTTTAGTTGATTATTATAGGTTAGAATATATGAGATTGTCCTTTGTAGAACATTTACACCTTTTTTTTTTTTTTTTTTTTACTATTCCTTTCCCTCTTTTACTGCCCTCCTCTCCAGTCTCCCCTCCAGTGCTGTCAGTACCACCAGGCGGTCAGGTGGTCAGTGTGCGAGAAGGAGGTAACGTTGACCTGGTGTGCTTGGTGGTAGAGGGAAAACCACGTCCACCTATACTGTGGTCACGGACAGAGAAGGACCTGCTAATGCCATCAGGAAGGACCATGGTGGAGACACCCGATGGTCGCTTGAGACTAAAGAACGTCAGCAGGGACATGATGGGGGCGTACCGGTGCCAGACGGCTCCATACAATGGGCTTAACATCAAACGCAGAGAGGCACAGGTCCAACTCAACGTGTTGTGTAAGTGTGAAGTAAACCCACAACAACATACTGTACAACACCATTGGAATAATAATAATAATAATAATAATAATAATAATAATAATAATAATGATAATAGTAATAATAATAATACAGATACGATTTAAAAAACATCTACAAACTGGTAGACAATTCAAAACAGTTCAAAACTTTTATACAAATGTGCACTGAAAATTTATAAAAAGATTGGAGCAAGGGTTAATACAAGACTAACACAGGAAAAACAAAGATCCCTCAGTGATTCCACAGGGAGTGATTCGCATGAAAGCCTGTTTATAAAACCATGTCTTTAGAGGGGATTGAAAAGATGATACTGGTTTTGCTAGCCTGATTTCCTCAGGCTGGATGTTCCAAAGCACAGGTGCCCTAATAGAGAAAGTGCAGTCACCTTTAGTCTTGAGCCTGGACCATGGAGCAACCAAAAGGGCCTTGCCTGGGGATCTAAGGCAGCGTTCCAGCTCGTCCTACAGAAGAAAAAGGGACAGTTAATCCCAAAAACTAAAAATACAGAACCCTCTGACCTGTAGAGTTGTTTATCAGTCTAGATTGTTTTGTTGTGAGTTGCAGAGAGTTGGAGATATCGGCTGTAGAGATGTGTGCCTTCTCTTGAATATAATGGAAATAGATGGCACAGAAATCATGACCTGGTTACTTAAAATAATCAACAGACCTTGTTGTGAGCAGTGAAATGCACAAACTACTTTCTTTTTACCGAACTACATCCGCAAATGGTATCAGCTTGCAGAAAGAAGCATGCATGGACGAGAGGTTCGTGCTCACGACAGGATGGGATATACACATTAATGGTCTCCTACTCAGCCTAGCTGTAATGTTAGCTAGATCATTGGCCCCTAGGTGACCAAAGCCAACGAAAGAAAGACTGAGGACACTGATACAGCTGAAAGAGATGACCACTAGAGAGTAAGAGAAAGAGACAACAAATCACAGCAATGTATAGTATGTAGTTCAGACAATCCCAAGGAGAGCGACGACATGCAAGCTGAGGTTTGAACTGTATGAATTCCCCCCATGTGAAGCATAGGGAAAAGTAATTTTAGGCACTGTGTATGTCCTTGAGACAGTTTCTGAGACTATCAAAGCAGTTGGGATCATCATATCTTAATAGATATAACTGTGTGTCATCAGCATAGCTGTGGAAAAAAAATGCTTCAAATTATATGACCCAGTGCAAGCAGGTAAAAGGAAAAGAAATAAAAGGCTGGGGTTACTTGGTGAGAGTATTTGTCCCACCTATTCAGTGCAGTTTGGTGTAAATAGGATTGGTGACAGTATCTGGATGACATGGTTATATCTGCATCTTTTCTACTACTAAGACAGAATAATATGAAACTTTAGTGATCACTGGCAGTTAACAGTAATAGTAGTAGCAATGTCTGCAATGAACAAAAAAAACTTAAGAACGACATAGAATATATTTTGATCAGGAGAGACAGATTTGTGCTGATAAAGATTTAACAGAAGTTTTTGGCGCTTGGACACCAGAGGGAGATATTTTTTGATCGAGAGAAGTCTGAGGAGCAGAAAGATAAATCCCCCTGTGGAGTTCAGACACTGGTGGTGGTGGTGGTGGCTGCTGACTCTAAAGGTTGATGAGGCAGATGTGGCTGATGAATCGATAAAGACTAGGTGGTGATGGGGAGATGGAGGGCACACATGGCAGAGAAAGAGCCATATTTAAAATGAGGAGCAGTAAGATGATAGGCTGTCAGAGAGGGTGTGTCATTGTGCTATTGGTTGATTGTGAATCAGCTCACCTGACTCAACTGACCCACCCAGACAATGACACCTAGAGATAGTGCGTGAGCATATGTGCAAGGAGTGCATGGTAGGGTGAGAAAGAAATCTTACAGCCTGAGCATTGAAAGTGTTGTCTTCCTGACTGAACCTTCGCTAGAGCCTCATGCAGTGGCAAAATAAAGTAGTAAAACGAGAAGATTACAGCAGGTAGAGGATAATTACAGTAACAATTTTAGTATCAGTTGAAAATGTATGGTAGGCATTATTCCTGTTAAACCTATAAAAGCTCTGCGTGACAGGTTGAAATTTGAATACAGTTCTTTCTAAAGGTAACTTTTGCACAGACCTCTATAGGCCATAAGAAGTCTTTGTTGCTATGATAATATCAGAGATCCATTAAAACACTGCATTTTTATTAAATATCACACTCAATAATGGCAAATCTTCTCGCTTTGAAAACACCTTTTAAACTGTGTACCCTAAAGACGGATAAGGACATGCATGGCAATGTAAAGAGTGTAGAAAGGGAGAGTAAAAGGAAATGAGGACACACCTCTACGGCTTAAAGGCTGTTTTCTCTAAATCTACCTCTTCCCCTTTGTGAGAGCTCCGGTGGGGGCTGCCATTATAATTCTCCCAGAGGATGGGCTTTGAGAAAGAAGTAGGATCTGTCTTGGTAGTGTAACACATAATTTCAATACCCTTTCCTTTCCCAAGAGGTTACTTACTTTTACTTACTTCTACAATGCTTGAATCGTACCGACACTCACTGGTACTGAGCAACAACAAAAAACCAAACATTTTCATCACAATAGTTTTTTTGCGTAGTGTCCATTGTGTTGTATGTACAACTGTTTCACTTACATAGGTTCAAGTAGTAGTTTCTCTAGTTTAATTTGATGTGTTTCATTAGTGCTAGCTTTGAAGCTGAATGCTATAAACTGTTAGCTCTTTCATGGCTGCTAGGCATGGGGAAGGTTGTAACAGTTCTTAAAAAGTGTGGATTTTGGGCCCACGAAGCCTGCACCCCAGGCAAGGACATCTACATTTGCCACAACTGCCAATCAGATTAAAATAGGCTATAGGTATTATGCCTTAGTTTGCTCAGATAATAGTTACTCTTCGAAAGTGTTTATTGTTCAACTGTTCAAATGCTGTTCAAACGTCAACTTTTTTTGTATTTATGTTATACATTTCTATTAATTTTAATATTATAATTATTGTATCCTTACAAGTTTATTGTTCCTTCTTTATTATTCATTGAAGTGCTTTAATACATTTAGCCTATTGTGAATCTTTTTTAAGCACAATAATTTAATTGTTACATCCATCCCCAGCTAGTGTTACAACTCACCCCGGTACTGGGGTACGTTGTAACAATATACCTCTCTGTATTTGACATTAATTTCCATAATCTGTGATGGTGTAGTAGAGGTCAAAGTGTGTGTTATTTATAGCAGACAAATATGGGTACCACGTATCAAAATTTAAGAGCTTTAAAAAAAACCCACTGAGTTACACTTGCTCAAACAAAAAGTGTTACAATCATCCCCGGTCTCCCCTACTTTAGGCATCCTTATGTACATGATTAAACCATACAAAATCACTTGTCACCCAAAGCTGCATGTGCATGCGGTGCAGTTGCTGAGTGCCCTCCAACTTTCTTTTAATTCTATTTGTTATAACGTAATAACATAAATTTAAATAAAAAAAGAGAGAAAAACAATGCTTCCAGTATACTTACGCGTTGCAGGAAGTTACAAATACCTTGCTCCTTCTGTGAACTAACACTGGATGTGCTCTATTTATGTTAGCACATCAGGTGGGCTCAATCAGTGTACCATACAGAAGATGTAATCAGCAGCAGTAACACAGGGTCCCCTGCTGAATTTCCTTTTTGTGAGCGAGTGTTGACATTCATGTCGTATATTGCAACCAATGGGTAAAATCAAACATAATAACCCGAGGAAAATAACATTTACAGAGTGTTTTTGGTTGACTGTGAGCTTCTCCATGGCACGACTAGCTCATTCTGAACAATTATGGACAATGAAATTCAAGTATTGGAGTTGTTTTAGCACTCAATCAAGGAGCTTTGTTATTTCCGAGAAATTTAAGGACATCCCACCCATAGTTTTTCAGCAACATAGAATAATAAATGAATCATGAACTTAAATCATTCATATATTTAAAATGTTATTAGATGGGTCACAAATGTGATGTATAGTTAAAAGCCTGCTTTCTTGCACAGCAGTGTATCATTGCATTGCTAAGTGCACGGTTTAATTCAGTAAATTTATGTTAACAGGAATTCAGTATTCAGTGCAACCCTTTCGGCACTGTCCCAGTGTGCCCTGTGTACAAGGTCAAGTTAAAAGACTACTATTAATTAAAGTGATGAAATGTACAAGACATAAGAAAAAGTGTGAGGATACAAAAAAGTAAGAGCAGTACATCTAAAACACATAAAACTATAATGACACAAAAAGAGAGGAAGAATGAAAGGACTGGGTCTCTATTCATTACGTAACTTAGAGTAGGAAATTTGTACTTTTTGGACCAAAAGCTCTTATATTTTGATGCTACTTATACTAATATATTTGATCATACTTTGTAAGGATCTTTTTCTGTTATTTCTTTTAGAATTAAGGATTCTTTCCCATACTTGATGGAAACACACCCAAATCACTGCCCTCTCTTCTCCTCTTCATCTCTCCTCTCCTCTTCAAGAAGGATTTACAGGGCCTGCTAATGCAGGCGGGGCGGAAGGGCAACACTCTGTGAGCTCTGCTGTCCACACTGGCCAAGACTGATTAATGGACCAGGTGGCCACCCCACTCTGGACAGAGAAAGAAACAGAGAGATGAGACAGATACATGAGCAGGACCAAGAGAGAAAGAACCATGGTTAAGAGAGAGCTTTGAACAGGGAAGCAGGGTTAGGGATGGCGAGGTGCAAGAAATGAAATGTGTGATAGGGAGGTTAAAAGATGGAAATAAGGAAAAGAAGGAGGAACACCATAAATGAGGAGATATTGCCGTAAAGCTACAGCCAAGAAAAGTGCGTGTCTTTTTCTCTCACTACCCCTCGTTATGTCCTGCTCCCATTTTACTTCACTTGTAAATTTGATCAGTTTTGTTTTGCCTCCTTCCATTCAGCACTGTTGATCGATGTTAGGGAAGGACGCCATCATTTTTTATGGCAGATATAATTAAGAGGATACGCAGATTCTTGCCACTGTTGCCTTTCCCACTTCCTCCCTTCGCCGTGTATCCCTTCTTCACTTCACCACTTTCCCTCCAAGAGAGGTGGCTGTTCTTCCTCATTGCGATTCTCATCATCATCAATCAGCTAACTGCTGGCCATGAGAGAGGACCTCTCTCTGTCTTGTCATTCCCTTTCTGCATCCTGCATTCTCTCATTCTCTCCCCACCTCCCATACTCAATCATCGACTTCTCTCACTTTCACACCGCACTTTTCCTATCATTTGTCTTCCTCATTGTCTTCTTCTTTAAGGGCTGTTTCTCTCTCCCTTCATCCCGCCTAACCCCCCCCCCCTCTCAGTCCCATGTAAATTGATTTTCTCTTTGTGTACTGTAAATGTTTGGCTTGGTCAGTGTTGCATTCCCAGATGGAATCCATTTTGCATTTGATAAGACAGATAGCGATGGTGTGTTTACATGGATTATGGTCTTCTGACTATGAAACATTGCATGTGGTGCTGTGAGTCCCAAATGAGTAGCAAATAAATGCAAAGACTATGCCAAAGACGTTTCTAATAGTTGGGTTAGGGATCAAAGTAACCCTATGACTTGGAACATGTGAAGCCCACTGCTAAGAAATTTACATAAATGTTGAAATGTATACTTCAGGTTTAGGTAGGGGGGTTGTAATGACTTGTCTACAAATTCTACGGTGGATGGAGTGATTTATAAACTGCTCACAAAGCAGCTGACAACACACCTCCTCCTCCTTCCCTCCTTCCTCCCTACTTCTTTCACCATCGCCCCACAGTTTGCCTGCTTTTCTTTAACCTTGCCACCTGTTTCCAAAGTCAGACAGCCATCAGTATGCACATGTGTGTCCATAAGCAGGAGCAGGGTATGTGACCATACACTAATCAGTCCATAAGATTGCAATATGACCTTTGACCACTCCCCCATTCCTCAGCTCTATCACATGGTCATGTTACGGCTGCAGGAAGAGTTTCCAAAGGTCAGAGGATAATAATGACCTGACACGCAGCGGCAAATGATAATTTAGATTCTACATATAAGAGGATAGAAAGCTGTATGAATGTTGCATCCACATGTTGGCAGTCTAGACCTAAAACAAGACGGATGCAGAGAAGTTAAATGTTCTGGTGGTTTCCAGTCTTAGCATGCAGGTGCTCACTCATGTTCCTTTGACTGGAGTGCAAGCACAGAATGGTAAACTGTGTTTCCAAACAAGGATTGGTTTGGCTGTGGATACCTGTACTTATAACACATATAAACAGTAAAAGCTTTACTCACACAGAGAATAGATGAGCTTTAGGAGGTTCGATCAGATTCAATCCGCGCATTAACTAGGTGGTGTGTTAGTCCCGCTTCAACATTGTCTCAGCGAGTACAAATAACAATACTAGTGCTCAAAACGGCTTCTGGGATAGTTTCTGCTACTGTAGTTGTCACTTGTACCACATTTTGCCTTGATGACACACACCCACACACGGTCTCACGAGGTGTAAACAATACCAGCCTCTGCAATGTTGTCTCAGCTGGTAAAAATAACAGTACTAGTATTAATAATAATACAAAAGTGGCTATGAAACCTTCTAATAAAGAGGCAAATTGAGGAGGTTTAAGTATGTATTTAAAACTATCAACACTGTGTGAACATCAAAATAATTTGTAATCAGATACGTTCCTTGTTGAATGTCTTTTGTTATTACTTTCATCACTCCTGGGCTGGTTAATTCTGCTCGGAGCTTCCCACATTGTATCAAGCACAATAAGAGCGTCTCTCTGTTTTCAGTCCTCTCCCCTGCTCCTCGTGTTATCTTTCTGTCTGTTTCCTCCACTCCTCCTTACTGTAGCTCATTCGTGGCCCTATCCATCTAAATTACAGGCATAACACAGATTAGACTATAATTACACATCTGTGTCTGATAAACTTGATTCATAAGAGACTCTAGTCATGCTGCCTCACCTCTAGGGGCCTCAACACCAGATCTCATCACTGTTAGTACGGTGATACCACCATTAGCATCTTGTCTATTATCTACATGATTAGCCAGGGGTGAACTAGCTGGCTGTGATTTGTGGCACAGTCATTTGGCTGTCTTGTGTCCTGGCTGACCCCGGGGCAACAACAGCTAGTCAGTCATTAACTGCAGAGCTGCACATCCCTGCTGACAGGTTAATTACAGCTGGTTAGGATAGGTTAGCAGCAGGGGTGGGACTGTGCCTCGTAAAAATGCTCCATCCCTTGTGCTTGCGGCAGTAACAGTTGCTCTGTGTGGGATTATTTGTCAAAGCGAATCTTTTCTGATGCTGTGAGGACATTTACACTGCAGAGAACAAAAGGATAATGTAGGGAAGATGAGGCATGGGTAGTGGTGATGTATGTACACCATTGCAGGCCATTTTGCATTGTCCACATCTATAAGCTGAAATCTCCTCCACAAACTGCTCTGCTTCGGTTTATCTCCATCTCCTTTATGATGGATATAGATTTTAAAAAAAAGAAAACAATTAGAGATAATGGGTCTTACATGGATGCACCTCATCATTATGCTTAATCACAAAATAAGTGTCCCAAATATTTGGTTCAGTCAGTGCATATGAGCCTGTGAGAGAAAGTATAGTGATTTAAAGTACAATCGTGCAAGAAACCACGATTTAGAAATAACTCTGATCTAAAACCTCAGCATCATGCTCCATAATGGAAACATAAATGTGTTGCATTATTACACCAGCTATCTTCATGCAACACAAGGCTTCTACATTGCTGAGAAATTGTTTAATTTACCTTGAAAATAAATACATTAAAAAAGCACAAAACATATAATAAAGCTTAATATTTTACACATATATTGACTTAAAAAAAATTGTATATTAATTATATACGACATAATAAACACAGAATCAACAGAAAGGATAAATGACTTTCTTTAATTCATTTAGATGTTTAAAGTGTTTATGTAGCTTATACGAGTATTTATTAGGTGCTAAAAGAATATATTTATGACATAATTACTAATCAAAAGCTTTTAATTATTGACTGATGTGAAGATTTATTTAAATGCATTATCTCTTTATATCCATTCAATTCAGTGGAAGTGACAGGAAGGACAAAAATCAGTGTGTGTGATGTTTTTAGGCGATTCAAATACTTCTTACATCAAAGCAAATGGAAGCACTGCTATTAAGTGATAAGTTGCAATTAAAAATGCAAAGAATTAAAGCAACTCGTACTTTTCTTGCATTTCACACAGCACTTAGAAAAAAATTTGAACATCCACAACTCCTGCCTCCCTCCAAAGGCCCATCCTCCTCCTCCTGCAACTCCACCTCCCTCCAAAGGCCTACTCCCCCCTCCTCCATTACGTCCTCATTACGTCTATGATAGACGTAGGCGTTGGCATGGTAACGTTAGATAGTAGCATTTACGTTACTAGTAAGTGGAAACGCACAAGGAAAATAACATTGATGTTTCAGAGGCTACGCTACAGTAGGCTAACGTTAGCCATTAGCAACTGGATGCTGTGTTGTCATAACATTATGAACTGAACTGAACTGAACTGAACTTCTTTGTCATCTTTATGCGCAGCACAAAAAACGAACTGACATTTTGTATACCCCAAGCAAACAGAAACAAAACATAAAAACAATTTGTGCAACACATAAGAAAGAACATATAGTGCAATAGTAAGATGAAAAGGGTCGACATTTCACAGTCAAAAACTCCACATCCTGAGAGCAGAACTGGGAGATCCTCTTCACATCACAGCACCATGAATTGTTTGTGTATACACCACGGAACTTACCAGATGATGCAACCTCCCCGTCTGCTCTGTTTAGTGTTAGCCTCCTTAGCTCAGCACCGGCGTCTTATATGTTACCATTCATCCATGTCTCAGTGAACACAAGGACGCAGCAGTCCCTCACTCCTCAGTGGGTGGATCTCCACAGTCGGATGTAATCTATTTCGTGTCCAGCGAGCGGACGTTCGCCAGAAGGCCGCTAGGAACAGCTGGTTTGATGGGGTTAGCTGTTAGCATAGAGCTAACCCCTCCGCGCTTCCACAGCTTCTGCGTCCTGTCACAGTGCTGCCGGCGTCTTCCCTTCGGGACAGCTCCAGGCGAAACTATAGTCATCTCAGGTTACTAGTTTATATCCACAAGCATCCCTGTTACTAGCATATTTGTTGTCTCACAGACTCCGGGGTGGAGGGTGTGGGGGGATGTTACGCGAGCAGTTACGTCTGTCGGAGGCCTACACATGGGGAAGACAGACAGGACAAAAGAAAACTCCGACCAATCATTGCGTTCAGTCCGAATGCAGTGATTGGTCGGAGTTTTCTTAGAACCATATGAGAATGGTATAATGGTAAAATTAGTTTTCATCTCTGGTGGAATTCACTTACATTTCAGTGTGCCATCAGCTTATTGATAGCATTTTAACCTAAACAAAGAAAAGTGTAAAATTTCTGGAAAGGTAAGTGTTGCCTTGATTGATTATCCTTATAGACGTTCAAACAAAAAGTTGCAAATACCATTATTTTGCATCCGCACCTCACACCCTCACACTGATTTTCATGGCAGGTTAAACAATGACTAAAAACCTACACGAGCAAATGCTTTTTAGTTGACTAAAACTCACAGGTCTCTTGTCCCTGCAGTTCCTCCCATACTGGACCCAGTCTTCCAGGACATGCGTTCTAGGAACTTCCAGATGGTGACCCTGAGGTGTACAGTCATGCGCTCAAACCCACCACGCCTGACAGACATCCGGTGGTATCGTCAGGGCGACTTAATCCGTATGCCCATGCCAGACCTGAAGGAGACGCCAGAGCTGAAGTTTAAGCTGGAGCCCACTAACAATGGCACTTATGAGTGCCGAGTCAGCAACAGCGCAGGGACATCAACGTGCACATTTAATGTATCTGGTGAGTGAACACAAGTGAGACAGTGGTATGTTATCCATTTGTGGAAAGTAATCAATCTATATCTATCAGCCATTCATCTTGTATTCATATACAGTTATCTCTTCTTCATGACCATTTACCAATGTCATTTTTGTTCTCTCTCTTCCCCCCTATTCCACAGCACAACCCTATAATGCTGAGTTTTACTTCGACACACCCAATCCTGTGCGAATTCAAAAAGGAAACAACTATTCCTACAACCTGCAGTGGACACAGAAAGATCCAGAGGCCACGGACCGCATCATAGGTTACTGGATTAACGTCCGAAAGGTAAAGTAATACCTAATACGGCTCATTCATGTATGCCCTCACGTTACTTGAACTCTGGTATATATACGACATTTGACCAGACAGGTACATGGTTTGACAAGCAGGAGCTCACTGACTGTTTACTCCTCCTGACATTGATCTGGCTTAAACTAAGGCAAACTTTGGCTAGCTGGGTTTATTTGCAAGTTTGGTCTCACCTTGACTGAACAGGCTCATAACTTATGTAGACAAGAACACACAGACGCACAAGTCTGTATGTAGTGAAGTGTGTATGCTAAGTAAACATGGGGCTTTATGAGTCCCGGGGAGTGTCCAGTGTGTGTAGTCAATCAATTGAGACCTACGCTGAATTACAACATCACAGCTCTCCTCTCCTCTCCTCTCCTCTCCTTTCCTCTCCTCTCCTCTCTTCTCCTCTACAGTCTTACCCTATCCTATCCTATCCTATCCTAAACAAAAATTTACTGCATTTCCTTTATATTTTGTATGATTATGATATCATTTTCTCTTTAATTTTCAAATGTTGTTAAGCCTGTAGACATGATAACAAAAATAAGTACAGATATTTTTTTTAAATCAACCCATATGACCTCCATTCTTCAGTTTTTCCTCCTTCTCACCTCTTACATTGTCTCCTCTCTTGTTATTCCCTTTTCATGCTATCTTCTTCAGCTCTCATCACTCAGTCATATCAACCACAGACTTTATTTTCTACTTTCCATCACCCGTAGATGTGAGGATGAATGGCCTGCTCTAAAAAGCCCCATTAGAGGGTTACGCCTGTGTTCACAGAACTAAGGTTACAATGCCTGCCCTTCATTCCAAACTTCCACATACAATTACTTTGCTCTCACTGCAAGATTCTAGCTTTGAGTGCCAGACGGACAATAATGTGTTCACTGTGATGTAACCACAACTTAACAAGACCATGCCTCCACTGCCAGCATCTCTCATTTTAGCCAGAATTCAGCCCAGAGACAGTTAAGAGTACATTTTTTAATGGTATTTTCATGTTTTATCTTGTCCTCAAATGATTGACTTCGCATTGACGTGACTTCATTTTCACAACCCTATGAGAGGTGTTAAATTAGTCGTGCAGTCACAAACTTGAATTTAGAACATGCACTTGAATAACCTCTGATGCCGCAACACTAACAATTCACCGTAAGCAGATTTTAAAGGAACAGAAAGTTCTCCCATGGTTCCTTCAGTGTTAATTGTTGAGAAGCTTTTTTACTGGGAGCAGAATTGTCCGCAGAGGTCTCTTCGTCCTGAAAACAAACAGTCCAGATGATTAAAACTGGTGGAAACACTGACAAAAGCAGTTCCACATTACAAATCAGTATTTCTCTGACAATGTTCTGCATGTTGCAGGCAGGTTGCTAGCGCAGCACCTGCTAATGTGTAACTCTTAGCTGTGCTTACCTTTTTTCTGATCCAGACATCCACAATGTTTTTACCAGGAGCTGAATTATCCACAGAGGTCTCTTTCTTTTTAAAACACATTATCCAGGTGGTTTAAACCGGTAAAAACACTGAGTTGTTTAACATTAAAAAAAGTGTTTTTTAGAGGGGCTGCTAACTGCTGAGGGCTGGTGCAAAAATGCAAATGGCCCTACTAGAGCCAGTGTTTGGTTTGTCGATTCTGGGCAACTGTAGAAACATTTGTTGTCAGTGGGTGCTGACCTCCACCAGGATTGTCCCTTGTCACTGATCCTGTTTGTGATATTAATGAACAGGATCTTGAGGCGCAGCCAGGGGGAGCTGGAAGGCGAAGCTTTTGATTTACTGGTCCATCTACTTCACAACCCTCTCTTGTCTACGTCACAGCCCTCACTTGTCGCCATGAGCTCTGGGTAGAGACCGAAAGAATGAGCTCATGGCGACAAGTGAGGGTTGTGACGTAGATTTACTGGTCCATCTACGTCACAACCCTCACTTGTCGCCATGAGCCATGACCGAAAGAATGAGATCGCGGATACAAGCAGCCAAAATGAGTTTCCTTCGTGGGGTGGCTGAGCTCAGCCTTAGAGGTAGGGTAAGGGGCTCGGACATCCGGAGGGAGAGTAGAGCCGCTGCTCCTTGAAAGGCGTCAGTTGAGGTGGTTCGGGCATCTGATCAGGATGCCTCCTGGGCACCTCCCAATGGAGGTACTCCAGGCACATCCCACTGGTAGGAGGCCCCGGGGCAGACCCAGAACAAACAGGAGGGATTACGTATCTCATCTGGCTTGGGAACATCTTGGGGTCCCCAAGGTAGTGCTGGAAAGCGTTGCTGGGGAGAGGGACATCTGGGGTGCTTTGCTCAGCCTGCTGCCCCCGCGACCCGGCCCCAAGTATGTGGATGAAAATGGATGGATGGATGGATGGATGGATGGATGGAAGTAACAAGCACACACAGCTACTGTATTCAGCTGCAGGTACACACAGTATCTGAAAACCGACAGACTAATGCTTTCAGTACTGACCCATATTGTTACTGATTTTTAGGTTTTTATCCTTCAGAAACTCAAAGGCTTTCTGCTTACACCAACCAAACCCTTCCTATAAACAGTTTTGGAGCCCTCTGAGCGGGCCCCTGATCTGAAGTTGGAAACCTTTGTCCACAACAGGAGAGCAACCTCAGGCCACCCTCTTGTTTTGTTTCAAACATCTATTCATAGACTACTGGCCTTGAGTCAGAAGACAGGAAGGATAATAGTGAATTATACACAACTGGCTGGGGGTAGGTGTGTGCGTGCATGTGTCTGTGTGTGTGTGTTAGGCACTGAAACAGAGGGAATGCAGGGTCTGCCAGCTTGCTTTTGTGTGGATGAATAGCTAATTCCCCTCCTACTTTAAGACTTGGCTGCTTACCTCATTAAGTAAGACTCTACAGGGAGACAGAAAATGAGCACTGGCCTTCCTAAGATGCACATTTGATTGCATGCCCCAGCCCTCTGAAAACTCTTGCTCTATCTCTCTCTTGTTCCCACTCCTTTTGTCCTCTATCCTTCTACCAATATTTCTCTATCTTTCACACACAGCATCCCTTCCGTTTTTCCCCCAATTACTTCCTCTTTCTTTGCCGTCTCACAGTCTTCCTTGCTTCCACTTGTGCTCCTCTCTTTCTCACGCTTTCCCTCTCCTCTTTAGTTTTTTGTCTCTGAGGTACTGAGTGCAGACTTAATGGCATTTAATGTTGGATGAACCGTAGTAACTGAAATAGCACTGATAAATAGTCGTAGCGAGTTGTTATGCTGCCAGTGTTAAAATAATGAGTTGCATTAAGTGGCAGTTAAGGACTTTCTTAAATGTTGCCAAAGTTTAATTGAATTTCAAGGTTTTTACCTGCATATTTGTTATGTGTGTATCAGAGAACAGCAAAAATCAGACAGAAAAAAAGGAAAGCAGAGGGTGAGAGTGAGATTGAGCAAGGAAGTGAATGAAAGGGTGCGAAAGAGAGAAATAAGATGCAAATTAAAAAAAAACAGTGAATCTCACCGGTCCTCTCAGCTATTAAATAGAGTACGAGAACATTCAAATGTAATACCATCTCAATTTCACAACCCATCTATTTCTGCAACACTCTCTTCAGCTCATCCTCTTAACGCCTTGACATTCTATCTTTTTAGCACATACAAAATGATGTAGGGGGTCTCAGGGGAGACATGCAGACACAGAGGGGAATAAAAGAGATCACTCAGAGACTCAGATCAGTTCAGCAGAGCAGTGCTCTTCACGGTAGGTCTGAGCATACGCCTATAACTTTTGCTCATATGCAATAAGTGTGTCCATTTGCCTTTTGTTGCTGTGTAAGTCAGTGTGTTTTTGATGAGGCTTTGTGCCCATATGCATGTATATATGAATGGCCTCTAATGTATTTGTTTTTAGCTGGGTGTATAGCGTATGTCCATTTCTGTGTGTGTGTGTTTGGCAGACCACATGGTTTGCTCCATGAGTCATTGCCAGGCTGTGAAATCCCCATTTACACTTCTTAATTTAGTTTCATTCTCCCTGCAGGGGGTTTCCCTGTTTAGGAATTAACAGAGCTGACAGGCCTTCCTTGTTTTCCTGAAGCTGTCCTTACACCCATTTTCTACACACCAACCTCAACCCCTATGGTTTCTTTTAAAGAAGTACTGTGAATTATGAGAGATAATTAAAATGTGCTGATTTTACCTTTTTTCCAACAAGAGAGACGGATTTACGAAGCTTTATGTAGCTTGTTTTATTGGGGCGCACTGGCATAGAAAGTTGTCTGTCTTCACAGTCTCACTATATTAATTAATGCAGTGTATGTCGCTCATGCATATGCATTTAGGAGAGTAGAATGCACATTTACATTTACTCAATTTCAGAGGGTCACATTTAGGTGGAATATTCTGCTCTAAAAAGCAGCTGTTCATTTGTTCACATATATTGAGTGATGTTGTGTTTAGGGAAGAAGATATTTAAGTAACCCTCTGTAGCAAACTTATTAATATCAGACAAACAGGCTGATTAGCTTCAATGTACCAGATGAAAAACAGGAAATGTCAGCCACTTGAAAAGAAAAAGATGTCAAGTAGCCAGTACCAAATTCGACATCTGATCATTTTACCAACAGAGAGAGAGAAAGGAAGTTTTGAGTGAGTGGTTATTAAACTTGAACCTGATGTTCCCTGAGCTGGTAATGCACTCAGTGAACATCTCTCTATCTCATCTTCCATTCCCTTTTTGTGTGATCCAAAACACCCAAACACCAATGTACCAAACCTACAAATGATGGCTAGCTTAGCAGCAGATGCTCTGACTGCATGTGTGGGAGAGTGTTTATGTATGTGTTCAGGCTCAGCCTCTGACTGAACTCCAAACTCAACCGAAACTCTAGTTCTTTCTGTTATTTTCCTACCATCTCATGCATTTATGAAGCAGATTCTCAAACTCTATGCACCCTTTGTGGCTCACCTGGAAAATTTGTGTCTAACTTCATCTTTCCTCTAACTTTATACGTAGTTTCACCGTGTCTAAAATTCAGCT